CACTTAAACTGGTTTATGTGTAACTTCTGTCCTTAGCCATAGTTACAACTCACATCTGTAGCTCCTAGTCAGGCCCCCATTCCCCAGCCTTCTAGGGGCAAGTCACAGCTGTGCAGTTGAGAGCCAGTCAGAGAAGGTTTTTAGCCTGTTTCAAAGTTGAGCTAGCTCTAACACAGATCAGCATTTTAGCAGCTCGAAGTGCAATGTGTAACAAGGCCCTAAGGCTCTCCACAACTCTGTCTGCTCTCTGTACTATAAAATACACTTCTCTTAGTCACTATCATCTCCTTTCCTCTTATTTTTTACTGATGTTGGTTTTATGCTTTCCTGTATGCTGCTGTTTGTGCTGAAAACGCACTCCCTCTTCCTCTGCACCAGATGAATACCCCCTTCTCTCAATCTTTACTTACAACTCACTTTCTCTATGAAGCCTTTCAGCAGCCACTCATCAAAGGGTCACAATTTTAAGCACAAAAATGGTACTACTAGATTATACCTATGAAACGCAGCTCTTAATTACATTTGCCTGTTGTTGGAGGTGGTGTCTTTAATTACACAGTGTTAAGCATGCTTAGAATACTCAGATTTGTGCTGAACTTGGCCAACAGTCCCCCTAGCTCACGTATATTCCTACATAATGCATATATGGCAAGAGCAAAATTTTCAACAACATCATTTTTCAGAGATTTAAGCACTTCAGAGTCAATGCAACAGACTGCTCAAGGTCTTAGTGTCTACTGGTAACATCCTAAAAATGCTTACTAAACACAAAGCAGTGCTGCCATCTCCATGTGATTAGGGCAGACTAATTAGCACTGCTGAATTACAATGATAATTAGCTCTCCACCTGGCCACACTGATGCTGCCAGGGACAATTTATGAAATAAGCATAACCTAAGTCTGATGGTGGTCTGGAAGAGTTTGGTCCAAGGATATGCTGAATGCATGTTTTCTCTTCCCTATTTCTAGAAATTATTCTCATTGTGCAGTTGTATCTCATCCTATAGGATGAAAATCCCCAACTTGGATGCAAACATGTCATCGCTTGCAGTCCCTCCTGAGGATTTCAAGCTGGATGTGCTGAAATCACAAGGTCAACACATCCAGGAGTAAAACACAACCTTGTGCATAATCTTTCAGCATACTTCACAGGGTGGTTTTACTCCTTAGCCTATTGACCCATCCTGCCTGTTTACAACAGAATGTTGCAACTTTAATATTTTAATGCAAAAGTGGCAGCTATTTAAGTCTAAAAATAAATAATAAAATGTATATATGGATCATAATGCTTATTTATTCCAAGTTCAGCTTGAACAGTTTTCTGAAGGGACTTATAATTTTTCTGAGAAATATAGTTTTTCCTATGCTGAAAGCATTAGAGTGAAAATAAATATAGTTGAAGCAATGCCTGAGTATAATTTATTTTCATGTACAGTATTCATAGTATGAAAAACTTATGCATGAGTGTGTGTGATCCAGTGGTCTGTTATAATTATAGGGGAGGGAAAGAGGAGATGCTTCACAACTATCTTAAAACAATAAAAAGGTGCTTTACTGAAGCCACATTTCACTCTTCTGAGACAGCACCCAATCAGAGAAATCTTTCTAGAAGTACTTTAAGATTTTCTGAGAGCCGTTGTATTTTCATAAAACAAGCCTTTACAAAATAAAGCAATTTTCTTGCTCTCAGTTTCTCTACCAAACTTCATTTAATTAAATCTCTATAAGCCCAGTTCAGTAGCAGAAGGTTTTAAAATGTTAAGATTTGACACTTGATGCTTATTATGGTTAACCAAGGCACTAAGCAGTGCTTCTGCTCACGAACAAAAGGCCTCAAACAAAGCAAGCAGGTGAAAACAAACAGGATGTTCAAGAACAATAGACAAAATTAATTAACAGTCAGAAGATAATTAACTTCAGCCAAAAGATTTATTGCCAAATGACTTTCAGAGCATTCTGCATTCTTTGTCCAGGGTTTGAAAAAATTAACCAATTCCTGCTAAACCCACAGACTCATCAGCCAGGCAAGGGAAAATGCCTGCACCACTCAGATCACAAGTCACATTTAGCACTCAAACTATACCACACCGTATAAAAGCAATAGAATGGTTATGCACTGTTTGTGACCTATATATAATTACAACATACTGTCAATCATATTTCTGTTTACACCTTTCTAAATTATAATTCTTCTCTTGCTCTTCTACTTTCTTTCTCATCTTGTTTTCCCTCTTTCTTGTAAGACCACAGTATAATTTTACTCATTTTCAACATTTTTATGCTCTTTTTCCCAACCTCTCATGTTGCACTTCATCTGTATTTTATTTTCCTTCTCTCCTCCACTCCTTAATCTTTCACTTCTGATTTAGTCCTCCTGCCTGTCTTTCCATCTGTCCACCCAGGTAAGCACGCACCTACTTCTGTAGGGAGTCCTAGCTTCTCTTTGCATTATTGTTTTATAAGATCTTGCCTAATTTGAAGTTCCCTGTCTCTAGACCTTCTCTGCTTCTCAGAAGTTCTCTCTCATTATTCCTAAGAGTTCCAAAGAATTCTCCTGCCCGGATAAATTGGGAGGTTTCCAAAGCTCAACTTCTTATCCTTGTACTTTTAAAAGTTGACATGGACTTCTGCTACTTCCTTCAGCCTTGTAGGTGCTGCATCTGTTATGTCCGTTTCCTTAGTTGCACGTTTTCTTCTCTAGTGACTACTTATAGCTATTGTTCATCATTTTCCCAAGTTAATAATGAAGGCAATTCATTTGATTGTTATCTTTTTACCTGCTGTGGACACAACTATGAATAGCTGCCCTGAAAATGGAAGATTTTCTTTTCACTCTGCAAGAGCTTGGAAAAATTTTCTAAGTAAGAGAGACACTAAAGATGAAAGTATTCAGGCTCAGTACAATGATAAAGCATTTATATTTTGATAATGGTCCTTGCATAAGAGTTGGAATCTTACTTTTGATTTAAGTGAAAACTTAAATTCTAATGAAGTTAAAAGCAGTAGTTCCAATCTGTATCTGCTACTGTATCAAGCACTTCCAGTATCAAATATATAGTTGTGGCTTTGGCTATAACTGTGTTTTATCCATCTGGTCCTATGCAAAGATGATGCTAAAATCGGAACAAAATAACAAATACCTCTCACATCCTAGTTCATTTCTCTCTTCTTTTCCAATAAACTACTGATAATTCAAATACAGAGCTGCAGCAAGAACCTGAGTCCCAGTGTCCATTTATGAATTCCATATTTTACAAATGTACAGACCGCTTAGAGAGCAGGGACCATCTCTTATTCTCTCAAGTAACTTTGGCAAGTTTCTGAGCCATTGCTTATGTGGCAACCTACTTAAAAAACTTGAATTTGCAGCCATCATGTGAGGCCAGATAGACTTTCTTTTCCTTTTTTCTTATCTGAGGTTGTTGACCTCAGGAGAGGAGGAAAAGGTTACAGGGTCAAAGTCTTTTCCTCCTTGGAGCTCGCTGCTTGCTGGGAGAGGGTTGGCTGGAAAATAGATGTTTTAGAACAGGGGTTGAGGGTCATGATTTTAATTCTGTTAGGGAACAGCTGGTTTGAGTTTCTTTCCACTTCTATCTTCCCTCCCTTCCTCACAAATCCATGGAGAGAGAAGAATTTGTTCAGAGGGAAGCAATAACACAAAAATATATGATTCCAGTATTTTAGTACTTAGAATGTATCATCTTTGTTATGGGACTTCACATTAGGAGGGAATTATTGAAGTGACTGAGATATATGATTGTTTCTACATACTGAATTCAGGTGGAACTGCAGCACCAGTTCTTTGCCTGCCAAACATCAAATTAAGAGTAATGCTCCTGAAAGGATGAACAATGGGCACCATTATTTTATAATTTACTGACTGATGAAGGTAATTATAAATGTGTCTTGTTAAAGGCTGCATACAAGTGACTAAAAAAAGTGGTTTGACTCAGCTATTTCCATTTAGATTTTCTTCATCTTTGCATGCTGCTTTCATGCACTAAGACCAAAGGGGCAGAAGAAACTCACAACTCTCAAATGAATGGCAAACTAGGAACAGATTTTTTGTCTGAGCTCCTCTGAAACACTGGCCTCAGGCTGTGTTGGTGTGTGGCTCAACAGCAATCAGAGGTCATAATTTCATTGGCGGTTAGCATCAGGTTTAATTTTTCTAATATGTTACATTTACCAAAATGTCTGGTTTCAGTTATACTTATGCACTGACTGAATCAGCTTTGAGCAGCATGATGTTTTAAGGTACCTGAAAGGGTACAAGAACATTTATGGAACACACATGCTAATTGTTTTTAACCACTTTCTTTTCTAAACATAAAAATGTGTTTTTAGAAAGTCATATAACAGTAGTAGTTAATGACAGTGCATGTTTCTTCTGTGAAGAAAAGCACAAAACCAAGGTAAAATTGTTGATTTAACAAGACTGCCATCTACTGATTTACGCAATTAAAATTGCCCCGATGAAAAAATCTTAAACATGTTTCTAATCTTCTGTATCATTTTGCTAAGTTGGGAGGATGCTGATCAAAAATAAATTTTGTTGCTTTAGGAATGTGACCAGGTTCATATAGATGATGTGTCTTCAGATGACAATGGCCAGGACTTAAGGTATGTCAGACATGAAATAATATATTGATTTTTTGGCTTATTTTTTTTTAGAAAAAATATAAATTCCTATAAAATATATTGGCCAAGTTCTACCTTTGCTTGGCCAATATTTTTTTAACAATTTATAGTTGCAAACTAGCTCAGTGTGTAACTGGCAGTTGAAGTTGGGCTGTCCTGTTTTGTTAATTTTGGAGTTTTCTTAAATCTTAATAGCACATACAACTTCGGAACAGACGGCTTTCCTGCAGCAGCTACTAGTGCTAATTTATGCCTAGCAACAGGTGTGCGTGGAGGAGTAGACTGGATGAGAAAATTGGCCTTCCGCTACAGACGAGTAAAAGAAATCTACAACACCTACAAAAATAACGTTGGAGGCAAGTACCCAGCTTAAATGTTACCAAAAGCAAATGAGAAGTGATGTACAGAAAGGAATAGTTGTTCCTTTGTTTTTTGATCCTCCCCAACATGATGGCATTTACTTAGTGAACCGTTTATTTTGTACTCTCTAAAGAAGATTGTTCTTACAGCTAATGGAAGCAGAGGAAGATAACAACAGGGATCTGAATTTCAATGCAGATGTCTCTCTGAGTACCCTTTTCTATTTCACAGGTCTTCTTGGGCCTGCAAAGAGAGAAGCTTGGTTGCAATTAAGAGCAGAAATTGAAGCTCTGACAGATTCTTGGTTAACACTTGCACTGAAAGCACTCACACTTATTCATTCTAGGTAAGTGCTTAAGAGCTAACGTGGCAGTGTAGAGTGTTTATGAAACATTAAAATGTATGCTGAGGTTTAGGAGAGCCTGCGTGATCAAGCAGATAAAACTTTGGCCTGTGAATTACAAGACCTGAGTTCTTTTCCCTGTTCTGCAGCTGACCTGCTGTCTGTAAACCATAGCCCTGTGCCTCATTTTTCCTAGCCACGTACAGACATTACACTTTTACCAGCATAAGTGATCAGGATCTGGTCTAGGCCCACAACAGAAGAGATTCACTGCTTTAAAATGGTGGAACCCAGTCTAAGATTTGCGCCTCCCACAAAGAGGAACTGTTCGCTACTGACCTAAGCTGGGCCACTTGCAGAAAACCACGTAACTTGGATCAGTTCCACCTCAGGCTTTACCTAGTCCCCATCTGTACAGTGGAAATGAGCATATGTTTTTGTTGCATTTTGTTGTGTTAATTTATCTACATTTGTAAATTTTCAGATTAAAATGGTGAGTTTTCAGGAAAAGACTGAAATCCTGTTAATTTTGTCCCTATTTTCAAGGGTGTTTGTCATTGTTTTTTTTACAGGACAAACTGTGTGAATATTCTAGTAACAACTACTCAGCTTATTCCAGCTCTGGCAAAAGTCTTGCTGTATGGACTAGGGGTTGTATTTCCAATAGAAAATATTTACAGTGCAACTAAAATAGGTAAGTTGTTTTTGCAGGGTCCTGTAGTTGCAACCTGAAATTGAAAAGCTGTGTTATCCGATGGATAAATGTATCTGTGTTTATTTCTAATGTACAAGTTACTGAAGCATCTAGAAATCAATATTTTTTAAAAAAGATGTACTTTAAAAAGCTTTTTTACTGAGGGAATTTAGAACAATTTATAAAGTCAGGACTGGATCCAGCAAGCTACGTGGGCCCTTTTCAGAAATGGTATACAGACATGGAAAAATGCCTTATCATCCAACACTGATACAGTAGTTCACAGTAGGACTATAAATGGTTTAGAACAGGCTGTCCAAGTGGTGACTTGCAAGATGTTAGTTTGCGGCCCTGAAGCTCCCACCCCATCACTCCAATTGAAGCAGCAGCTGGAGACTCCAAGCTCCCCATCTTTCCTTGGTCTTCCATTTTCTGCCCTCTCAGGCAGGGTGGCCCACGGTGCCAGGATAGCCTACAGCCCAGGGGTGACTATGTGGGGCTGTGCAGTGGGGGAGCTGATAATACGCGGGACACCTATGCACATCATGCAACAAGGGGGCACCCACACTCTGCAACTAAGAATTCATTGTACGAAGTTGAAGGCAATACCATAAAAAGTAAACTTACACCAAATTAGTATAATTTGTAGAGCACTGAAAATAATAATTTCATCCCTTTTGTAATATTGAACTGCAGTTCCCTAATAAAAGCCCATTCTAAATAATAGAAATTCCCTTAAGAACATGAGAACATAGGATTACAAGGGAACTTCTGGGACAGGTGCAGACATCCTCTGCCCACAGGCAGGTATAACTGAAGGGAAAATCGAGCATACAGAATCCAAAAAGGTTTTTTTGTTTTTTTTAAGATGAGATGAGAGTCCTAGGCTGCATCCAGACAAGCGCAGCCTTGCGGTATGCGGCACTGCAGACATCTGTGGCACCACATACCGCACATTCAGTTGTTCTCTGTGCTGCAAGGAAGCAGCACAGGGGATTTTTTTGACCCCTGGATGTCCAGGGCTCAAAAAAAAGCATGCAAAAAAAAGTGGAGTGGTACACGCAGGGGGCAGCTGCCAGCCAGGCTTCAGGCAACAGGATCGCCACTGCTGCAACCATGGGAGGCCCCAAGGACCCA